GGCACGGCGCTCAAGCGGTTAATGGCAGAGTATAAGCGTGAGTAGTCGGGCAGCAAAGGTGGCCGCGCTTTGTGTTGCTGTGCGCGAGAGCGGGGTGGGTTTACCTCCTTCCTCTCAGTGACGTCGGCTGTTTTCCGAGCCCGGTCACGCGTTGACTCCTTCTAGGCCCGCGGAACTGTCTTCACGACAGCTTTGCCTGGCGCGGCGGAGAAGGGGGAGAGGGTTGCGTGTCTTTCTGTTGATGAGGAGGCTGCTGTAGGAGAGGAGGAGGCAGGCTCGACTGGCTTGGGCTGTGGCTTCTGTTTCAGATTAACCCCCCCCCCCATGGTTTAAATTGCCAAGTCAAGTTTTAAATGTTCGCGGTGGGAGCGGGTGGGGTTGAACTAAAACAGTGTTTTTCAAACTTGGCATCTTTAAGATGGGTGGACTTCACCTCCCAGAATTCCCCAGCCACCATGTTGCCAACTTTGAAAAACACTCATCCAAAAGAAAGGGAGGCAGATGGAGAGTTGAGCCGGAAGAAGCCTTTGATCCCTGTTCTCAGCCCAGAAATTCGCTTTCAGGACCACATCCTGATCTGCTCATTTCTGGGGTGATTTAACACCAGAGGGTGATGTTCTTCTGCCTCTGGTCTAAGTGATGGAATAATTGAGTAATGTCAGTAGATCAGAGTCACTTGGAGCTTTTGGCAAGCTTTGATCGCAGCACTTGAACCTGCAAGATAGTGGGGATGGTTGCTTTTGTGTGATGCTTTTATACTTTAGGAATTCTTACATGTGGAAAGGTAGCATGCCAGTGTGTTACCTTCCCGACAGGTAATTCTTTTCGCCTACAACCTTATCTGAAAATGGCTGTTTTCTTTTTCATAAGGGAACAAACATGGAATGGTCCAGATTAGTATAGTTTATGAAACACTTTGCAATTTTTTTTTATTGTGTAAGGTCCAAACTGCTGGGTTGTGGCTGTTGTTGAATTGCCTCTGTGTAGGACAGCTTGAAATGATAAACCAGAAAATGTGCAAAAGAAAATAGCATTACATATAAATCAAGCAGAGAGATTATTCCAATATTAACTAACCCTCAGTGTGTCAGGTATGGTGGCTGAACCAGCAATGTTCCCTGATTCTGGATTGAAGCACAGTGGTGAAGCTTATGTTTTGATTACAGAACAGCCTAGCCTAAGGTCAATCCTCTCCATCTTCTCATAAGCCTGAATCCTTGCATGTGTTCTGACTGTGCATGACAAATGTTTATACTCTCAAACTCTGTACAAAAGCAGTAACTGTAATAGGAAATTCTTTTGTTTTTTCAGTGTCTTGATAAGATATATGTTAAATAAACTAGGGGTAGTCAAATAAACTAGAGATGGCCTCCAGATGTGTAACTTCAAGTAACCTTTGGCAGCATGAACACTTGTGAGGGATAATGGGAAGTGTAGGCCAAAAATAGCATCTGGAGAATTCTACATTACCTATCTCTGAGGTAAGTGGTAGAAAGGAAATTGATTAGTACAGTGAACTCTGTACATAGTAACCTTGTTCAATCTTGCCTTGAGTTGTGATTAACTATAAGTATCAGGACTTCATGAATGTCAGTCATGTATTCTATCAGTCAACCATCAGTCCATATGTATAGAGGGCCATGATTGTTCAATGTAAGAAAAAAACCTCATAATTCATTAAACAGCCTTTTGGTATTGATGTTGCATCTTTTCCACTAGAGAGAGCAATAGCTCCTCTTTTCACCTTGGTTGGTGTCTCTCCTCCTTTTCACCTGCCTTTCTACTTTAGTTTTTTTTTTCCTTTCCTAGAAAATTGTTAGGGATTTAGACATTTGGATGAAGATGAGACATTTGTTGATAAAGATTTCACAGGAAATAGGAAATCTAATAAATCTCATCTGCAAAACAGAGGAAATAAGAAAATAAGAGTAGATTTAAAATCTCATCTTTCCTCTTTTTGATTTCAGGCTTACATATCTGTGTAACTTAATATGCATGATAGAACAGAAAGAATAGAAATGTTCTGTATGTTAAAAAAGTTTATTTTTGTAACATAGATAACTAGACTTCAAAAAGCAAGAAGCTTTCCAGAATTTTCTAGACTACGCTGCCATTATAATTTGTGCAATCCTATGCATAATGGAGGAGGATTCAGTTGTGCTCACTGCAGACTACTCTCTTGTAAATGTATTTGGGAATACCCTAATACCCTCTTAAAATGTAGTCATGTATATTGTTCACTTCTGTTGTAAAAATTTTCCTTTGCTTATTTGACCATTATTACTAGGCAGAAATTATCAAGGTAATGTAAACTCTCTTGGCTAACTGCTATACGTTTTGTTTTTATGTTCTGAAATGTATGAAGTATAAATTAATACTTAAAATGTTTATTCTTGATTTTAGAGTTGACTCTGAATCCTCCTGAAGGCATAGTAGCAGGTATGAAATTCTATTTAAAATATATCTATCTTGAAATTAGAAAGCCTATATTAATATAATTTTTGTTGTTTTTAAATAGGGCCCATGAATGAAGAAAATTTCTTTGAGTGGGAAGCTTTGATAATGTAAGTTATTTGAATATTGAACATTTAGATTATGGGTAGATTTCTACTGGTGGACATCATAGATTTAAAAATGACTGTGTGAATTTTCTAATAATCAGAATGTCAAACTTTGGAATTCTTCTCAAACAGTTCAGGCTTTGTCTATGTCCACCCACACAAGACTCTATTATATTTGCAAATTTCCCAGTTTATAGAATTCTATAATGCATTGATTGTCTTTTAATAAAACAAGATTTTGTAAGCCACCCAAAGTCATCTGCAGTGGGTGGCCATAACAAATTTATAATAAATAATTAATAAAAGATAGAATGTGCTGGTCAAGTAAATTTAATTTTATTTGCTCTTCAATTTTATTTGCTCTTAAATTGGTCTTCTCTACAATGTCTGAAATAACTTTCAGTGTTTATAGTATGGGTTTATATAGCATGGAAGTACCCAGGATATATTGTAGATATTAAGATGCAAGTATACCTTCTTGGACAGGCTTATAATGTGGAAGAAGAATTGCACTGAAGTCTTCTCTTTTACCTAATAAAATTATTGCAAAATGCAGTTGAATGCAAAAAATAATTTTTTGTATTCTGCTTTTACCTAGCAAATTTCTAATGCAGTGGTTTTCAGTCTCTTGTATCTTACATCGTGCCAGTTACTTTACTGAGTTTATTGTTATTAAAATAATAATGCCATGAATGACTTTATAGGGAATACTTGACCATAGAATGGCATACCAAAAGTATTCCTCGCTGAGAGCCAGGGAGCACTCTTTGAATATGGATCTGCTCTTTCAGGGAGATGGTACATCCAAAACAGACTGTGTTCAAGTCCATTTTCCTATTGATCAACAGCACTTACGTCTTGTCCGGATTTAATTTCAGCTTATTCTCTTGCATCTATGCTATTATTGAACTTAGGCAACATTCAAGAGTACCAGCTGCTTTCTTAGAATTGGTTGGTGAGGACCAGAAGAGTGGGTATCATTAGCATACTGATGGAACTATACTTCAAAGCTCCAGAGGATCTTCTCCTGTGGTTTCATGTAGATATTGATCAGCATAGTAGACAAGATAGAACCTTGTACCACAGAGTAGGTCAGTGCTGTAGTTGTTGACTCCGCCTGCCAGAACTGCTATGAAACAATGTACCTAAAATCTAGTTCTGCTAAATGTTTCAGAAAAAATATAATTATAGATTTGAACTCTACCAAGAGATCTAGGAGGAATAATATGGCTGGATTTCACTCACAGACCCATTTCAGTTTTTGACTAGGACATCCACCAAGGTGAAAGCAGTTTCAGTTTGATACTCTTCCTGAAAGCCTTATTGAAATGAGTTCAGATAATTAGTATCATCCATATGTGGCTGGAGACATGAAGCTGCCACCATCTTGATCACCTTTTCCAGAAATGGAATATTTGAGAGTAGCCTATGATTACACAGCTTTACTGGGACAAGGTATTTTTTCCCCAGTTATGGACATCTAAATAGAGGGGAACAAATCCTACCTATAAGGAAGCTTTCATCATCCCTCTTAATCATGAGCCAGTCCCATTCTAACCAACTTAATCAGCTAGAAGGGGCAAGTAAGCAATTTATAGCTTTTACTTTTTCCATGCCTTCATGGTTTAGGCACTATGTGACCCATTTTGAGGTTTCGTTCACTTGTGTTGCAGCAATTTCCCCCTCATCATCACTTCATCATTATCAGCTCCTTAGTAAACCAAAGCATTGATTTGGCTATGTGAGAAATCCCAAACCACTCCAAAGCAGCAAGTTCAGCATAAAATTTGGCCACCCAAATGCAGCAGATGCACTCAGGACTGGTGGATGGAGTACATGGTCAATAAGATTAATTCATATAAACTAAGGCTTTTGGAAGCATTCAGAAGAGATGCATTGGAAAGGATGGGAGTGTGAACAAAGTAGTGTTCTTTGAAGTATTAAAGGAGCCATGTCTTTTGCAAGACTCACATGGCTGCTTCAGAAGATACTCCTGGCTGTCTCCACTTACTAGGAATACAGAGTTACAGGCCTCATTCTGTGAAGAAACAGTGTTCCCTGGAATACTTTCTTGGGAAGTTTGATCTGCAGGCAGGAAAACTCCTGATGGTGCAGCACACTGTGTTTTGCTCTCATTGCCTATGTGGACAAAGTAAATATCTCCCCATCTCCAACTTTCTGGAAGAGGTTGGTAGAGAGGGGCCTCCAGGACAATATTTGCTTTGCAACAATAACACTATCAGACAAATTGTAAGCAACAAGATGATTTGCAATCCCAGTTTTTTCTTCAGTAATGTACTTTTCCCTTGGCATTTGACTGTTTTCATGGCCTTCTGAATTTGTGGGGCTTTAAAATTATACAAATGCAACATATTATAGAGATACTAGAAGAAATTAAATATCATAATTAAAGTAACTGACCTGCACATTATTTTTTCTTCATGCAGTTCATGTATGACTATTACAGTACATTTTAAATTTGCTCCGTTACTTTACGTTTTGACTGTTCCTGGTTGATCGAGCAGAAAAACATGTTTAATCTTCTTTGTGTATTAGATGTGCAGTATTGTAAGAAAACAATTTTATTATAATTAATGCTTTGAAAGAATATGTTGCAGTATTTAAGAGGATGGTTGGCCAGAATTTTAGAATTTCAGAATTGTGATAAAATTTTTTAATGTTTTTAATTAAACTTTTAAAAAAAGCAATTAACATTTCTTTAAAAATGTTTACAGTACTTTCTGTGCACTAAATAGCAATATAACTATATAGCTATTGTATAAAACTATATAGTTTAAAAAAACCCTCAAAACTATTCTAATAGCCTTACTTAAAATAACTCCCAAAATATGAGTTATTTTTTTTCTTGCAGGTTTGCTCCGTTGATCATTTGTTTAATAGTTCCATGTCTAATAACTATGCTTGTTTTGAAGTGTTCAGAAATAAGTGTTAGAATCTCATGCAAGTGTCTAAAGCATATAAATACACAACTTTGATATCTTCACTCCAAAGTAGAAATGAATTAATTTGACTATTAAATTAGATGTATGATGAGGGAGAGGATATTACTGCAATAATAGTTTTCCATTGTAAAATTGTCAGCCTCCATGTTGTGGATACTGTTTTATGCAAATCAATTAACTTAATTATATGCAGGCTAATATTTTTTTCTATTTCTTATCAGAATATTTTAGCTTTGGAGTTGATCATTTGCAAAATGTTAGTGCTCATTACCATAACAATGTAGCCACTAAAATAATATAAATGTGGTCGTTGTTGGAACTTGGTTAGCCTAAAAGCTAATTTTTAAAATAATAAGTACAACTTTAATCCAATATCTCCAAAGGCTATCTAGAAAAGTAATTATATATTTTAGTTTATGTATAGTATTTTAATATGTGAGTTTGTTTCAACTTGGAATTCCCCTTTGTGCATTAGGAAGTGGAAGGGGTGGGATAAAATGAAAACAGAAGAAATAAGCTTCCTATGAACATAAAACACTGATTATCTCATTAACTGACTTAATATAAACGTATGCTGATTTAAGTATATGATTGCATGAACATTCTCTACCTTTTTATTTTCTTTAAATAGTATTTTAGCTTTGTATAATACAAAGTTGTAGTCCAATGTTTTGTGTATATTACAGGATACATGTATATCTGATGACTGCATACAATTAATGCTTATTTTGAGGCTTTCCATTTTATTTCTTGTTTAAGGTGAAATCATTGACTTATAGCCAAAACCCTTGTAGTTTATTTATTTACATTAAAAATAATTTATTCATTGAACTACGATTCCTGACTTCCAGGACGGCAAGGAACAGCCCTCCTAAAGAGATAAACAAACTGCAGGCAGTTGGTTCAAAAGCTACCTCTTTAGTATTTTAGAAACATTTATATCAAAATATTATTTGTAATAAAGTTACACATTTCTGAATCTCTTAGGAATGATTAGAATTCTGGAAATCTTGTGCAGGATTGGGAGAGCAAAAGGTTATTGACTTTCTCATTTTTCACATATGAAATAACATAATTGTGAATAGCCTTTTTTGCTTAACAGCAAAAATAGCTTAAAGTGAAAAAAAAATTAATGACAGAAAAATGGTGAATCGCATTTAAGCACATCCAGTGAAATGTGCTGTGATTCTTTTTATTTTTCAATATACCAAACAACACGTTTGTCATACTAGGATATAAATGTGTGATCTGATTTTATGATGACTTTTGTCATGGCTTCTAACTATGGTGACAAAGACAGTTTCTACTCAGGGAATATTGAACTGCTGCTAGTATGCATGTTAAATATAAAAGTAACATAAGATATAGTTATCTAAAATTGTATCAGTATTTCCACCAGAGAATCTTACTGTAATGAGACTCTATCAAATGATGTTGATTTCATTTTAAGTGTATCAAGTAACTACCACCTACAGCTGTCAGTCAAGGTCAGTTTTTTTTCTTTGCTACTTTGCTTTTGTGTTGTGGGCCAAACTAGAATGGAACAACACTGGAAAGAAGAAAATCACAAATTGCTTAGCATGCAGGAACCTATATTCCCGTGCCTGGCTGCAGTCTTACACCCTTTGTGAGTGAGTACACCCAAATGAGTATAGTGAGGCTTTATTTTGAGCAGATATATGATTCTTCCTTATCATTGCAAGGTCTGTTAGCTGATACAGCAGAGATTGGGGTCCTTCTCTTGGGGACAGGGGGGATTGTAGATATATAAAGAGAGAATTACATAGATTCAAAGCTGTTTATGTAAGAATGAATCTATGTAAATAACATTCAAGTTGTACATTGTGCTTTAATAGATATATTTGTACCAGTGTCTAAGAAATAATATGAAGACGCATCAGTGGGAAATATGATTTAAATTGGCCTTTTTTTCCTACTGATTTAAGTAATATAAACCATTGGGGCAAATTAATCATATCTGAATATCCCATTGAAGACAATCACAGAAGAAATATGGTGAGAATAAAAGGTTTCAGGATAGGAAAACAGAATCTGTGTTCTACCACTAGGTGGAAAACTGTTCTCAAAAAATCTTGCAGGCATTTGAGAATAGGGCTTAATAATTATGTTGGATGAACATATTATATTGGACAGAGGGTAGCTGTGAATGTAAAGCCAAGTGAAATAGTTAAAAGGCTTTGTTGAAATAAATCTTAGAAGGAGAACATGGCAGATTTATAAGCAAGATTAGAGAAATGTAAGAGGAAAAAAAGCGACGCAGTATAAAATAAGAGCTATAATGGTGTTATGAAGGCCACGCTCAGGGAGATAAGCGTTTCCTTAGCCCTCAACAGGAACATGGGAAGTTTAAGAAGATGAGACTGGCACCACCCTAAGGAATTCAGTGTTGTGGCTTGCTGGCTTTGGGGCTTTTGTTTAATTTGGGGAGATTTTTGTTTTTAGGTGGGAAGGTAAAAAAGCAAAAGAAATATTTTTGTACTTTCTTCTGG